TCCGCTTTCCAATAAGCCTCCTCCATCAGAACTAGATCCACTTCCAGTAGTTTAGTTGTATGGCAGCATCGCCAACGGGGAACAGAGAGCTTCCATTGCAGCAACAGACGCAAAACGTTGTTATCACTCGGCGCAATCATCACGAAACGGTTGCTTTCCAAAATCGACGATGCATCGACTGAAAGAACTGATGATGAAGAAGAATGAGGAGAACCAAACAATGGTTGCTGCCGAGTAGACAGACGATCGTGTTTCACGCATCAAGAGTGGCCTGCTTCTGCCAGCAGCCGAGTGAACACTGTTTTACTAAGTATTAAATCCAAAATATGTACATAGGACCCATATATTTATACTTTCATTTGCCTCTAACTTTTTCCATCAACAGAATTCCGTAAAATTATGTTTATAGCTTTTGAAGAGAGTTTGATATTACCTATTTTTTTTTGCAAATAACTAAAATCTGTACCTCTTATGCATGACGAACTAGAGCGGTCAGAACATGTTTTTATTTTTCAGTGAATGTGGTGACATTTTGAGAGAAGTATTTGAAGTTTGTAATTTTTAAATTTTACTTAAAATTATTATACAAACATTTTCCGCGAATATTTTTCCCAGAAACACTACATTTTTGTAAGCAAGTTTGTCTCAGACTTCATTTCAATCATAAGTAAATCATTCATGCTGCAACTTACAGCAGTGAAAGACAAGAAGTTTTCAAGCATAAAAAAACTACAAGAGACAGCCTTATGGGGTTGTACGCAATGGTGACGTAGGACTACGTAGTCTTATACAATAAACCATATTTGTTAACTGCAGCTTGTGTTTTGTGTAGGAATAGGAATTTGAGCGGGGTTCTCTCTGTTTATACTCTTTAGTATGACGCGCTTGACATAGATGGCCCACAACCAGTGATGCCACATATACAGATTTATCTGTAACCATACAGATTTTTTTCAATATTTTGATACAGATATCTGTACATACAGATTACAGATTTTTGAAAAATATACAGACTTGTTAAATAAGGAAAATATAAATTATATTATTGTTTTCTATTTATAAATAATAAATAAATATAATCTGATAAAAAATCGCTTTTTACTGTTGAGCAGCTTGAAGTCAATCTGTGAGCATCAAACCCAAAACGTATTTTTCACTAAATAAAAAATAATTGTATTCTGATTTCTCGTTAGAAGGGATATTAGTTTCCCTTTCTTTATGTTTGATTAACTATGTCATATAGTTACAGATAAAATATTTAATTAACTATATTTATATGATAATCAGGTTCGGCTTGGCAGTCCGGCAATCACTCAATCAGAACAAATTAATTTTGTAATTTGTCCCTACGTTCCGGCTATGATTAAAACCTTCTTCAGGAGAAAAAGGCCCTAATCAGAGCCGAAACGTAGGGACAAATTACAAAATTAATTTGTTCTGATTAAGTTATTGCCATACTGCCAAGCCGAAACTGATTATTGTAAAGCCTCACAGTCGAACACTCCAACACAATATATTTATATGTCAAATCGGTAAACAAGGCATTTTAGTAAACCCAGGAAATTTTCCGTTGGAAGCAGATTTGTCCCTCCCTGCAACTGGAACTTATTGTTTTGTATTTTCTGAATTGTGGAAAAGAAACAAATCACTTAAAAAATCAAGATTATAGGATTTCGTTATTTAAAAAAAGGCAAATTCGTTAGAAAACTAACCTTAGTCATTTTTCAAGATTCTAAACATTGAACAAGTTCCTTCTAAGCTATCAATGAACTCAATGAAGATTTAGTTAAATTGATACTGAGACCATAATAAATAAATATCAGTTCCGTTCAATTTTGGCACCATGCCAAATTCGAATGGATTTTTAAAATAGTGTATTTTTGTTCCATGTGATTAAAATTTTTAATAAAAGAATAATTATTATTAACGTCTATGTAATCAAGATGACTTACGGTGGATTTTGAACTTAATTTTCAAGCTTGTTGCCAAAGTACAGATATTTTTTTACAGATTTTTGTCAGCCAGATACAGATTAAAAAGATTTTTTGCGATGAAAATACAGATTGAAAATCAATTAAATGTGGCATCACTGCCCACAGCAACTCACGTAGAGCTACTGATTCCAATAAATAGCGGTGCAGCCTTTCATTGTGTACTGGAGAATACCACCACTCACCACGCGGTGATTGAATAGACACCGTTTGGTGAGAACGGATTGAATTCAACTTTGAAATCTGTGTTATGGAAATCGCTTTTTGCAGGCATTCGATGATAATTTTAACTGTCATAGCAACAGTTGCACAGTTATAATTTTCATTAGTGACATTTTGAAAAATGATGAAGTCTCGCGTAACATTTGAAAAAGGCCTATCCTCGTTGATCGATTCTCTTCATCGACTTTCTCTTTGGTTTACCACGGCAGCATAAACGAATTTCTCTTTAAGCTCGCAGCACAGTTCGACAGAAGATTATGTAAGCTGGCGCCTGAAACAACACACTCAATGGGAAATTCAAACGCAAACCAACATTACCGTCGGGTAGGGGAAGTTTTACCCTACCTGATCGTAATGTTGATTTGCGTGGGCGAGCCTTGACTTTCAAGACATCATCGAAAGAAGTCATTGTTTACAAAAGCTGTTACGCCCTAATTCCATGGGAACTGACATCCGATTGATGACCTTGGCAAATTTCCAAAAAATACTCTTTTACAAATTTATGGTGGCCACATATGTAGATGAGGATGGTGAGGCTGTATGTTGTTTGGAATGAGGGTGACGCGCTTGGCATAGATGGCCCACAGCGACTCACAAAGAGCTACTGATTCCGATCAATAGCGGTGCGGATTCTTCCTCCTTCTATGGTTGCCCATGTGGGATGCAGCTCGCTGCTTGCAGGCAGCCTTTCGTTGTGTACTGGAGAACATCACCACTCACCACGCGGTAATTCAATAAACACCGTTTGATGAGACCGGATGCTATTCAACTTTGAAATCTGTGTTAGGAAAAACACTTGCCACAGGCAATCAGTGATAGTTTTCATTATCGTAGCAACAGTTGCACATTTGTGCAGTTTTCAATAGTGACATTTTGAAAAATGATAAAATCTTAATGTTAACTGATGCGTAGAAATATTTCTGATCGATTGATGATAAAAATATTGAAATTGGCCCAGGAGCAGCTGAGCTATGAACGTTCAAAATCTTTCATAATTATGTTACATGTTCCATTTTCGGTTTTCACAAAGTGTACCTTCATATAGAAACCACAGACGTTGTCCTACGTCAAAATCATTAGACAATTTAGCATGACCCTGGCCACGATTTTCCTCCTTCGTGAAAATTTTCGTGGAAAACAATTTTCAGATTATCTTTTTTTGTGAATTGCAGAGATAATTTAAGCTAGAATTAAACTAAAAAATTCCGGGAAACTTTATAACCCTGACTTTTTTTAATTACGTTTCGTTTAAATAACCATAAACTCTATCTTTGGGCTAAATTTTATAAAACTCTGAGACCCTTCAACCCATTTCTACTGGATAATCCTAAACTGCTCAACTCTATTTATTACCAGTATTTCGGTAAGTACATGGCTTAGATAACTGATTTTCCTGAGGTTTTCTCCGTTGAATAGTCTCCCACCGATGGACGAACGCGAATCACGTATAGGAGAAAGTCAATTTTCGATTATTGACCACCTGAATCCCCACTGTGCACCGTGGTCCACGTCGTCGTTGTCGTTGTCGACGGTTAATGTAAACACCAATGAATGATTCGATTTCCAATCGCTGCGGGCGCCGGGCGGATTGGTGGAAGGGGTGGTTCGGCACAATGAGCGGATTTGATCGAGCTTCGATTCTTTGTTGTTTATTTGGCTTGTTCGAATCATATTTTACGCTAGTAGGTACAAAATGGGGCTGTGGGAGGGTGGACTCCCCACATCAACCCGCTTCTTCCTATTCAGTCTCTATTTGCATTTTAGTATTTCAGATTCGTGCTTCGCAATAACGGACAAGTGCTAGTTTTATTTGTTTTCGTTTTGGATACAAAGCAAATACAATTCCTAGTGTATATGAAATCGGAAACTACTTACTACTCTAGAAGAAGAGAAACGCTGATCTACACAAGCAGGGATTGGAAATTTGATGGCATTGTTAGAAAGGTGTCTAGATTTAGGATAAACAGAGATCGATCAAGTGTAGGAGGTAGGCAGTTTACTTACGATGCACTTTTCACTGGTTTATTGAGGGTTCCGAAAATAAGCAAGATCTATTGAACTCGACAGTCAAGCGTGCAGCTCGTTGTACACGAGCAATCAATTAATATTTGTAAATCATCTTGCTTATTTTCGCAACACTAAAGCAAAATGGACCATTAACGCTCCTTTGTGAGTTTTCTACCGGAAAAGATTCGACATCAACTTCAAACACTACCTATTGCTCGAGGCGGGACACTGCAGTAGCAGCTCGACGTCGCGTCGGTCGTATTCAATTAACACAAATTTGTATCCTTGGGGGGTTTGAGAGGTGAGCGCACGCCTTCGAGGAAACACGCTGACTGTCAGGGACCATCCCGGTGCTGTCCGTCAGCAGCTCAAACTCAATTAGTGTCCCTCAAGATGTTCTTCATTTCAGCTTATCAATTATTACTAGCCAATCAGCGCGTATTTTTTCCAATTATATCCCTGCCGATGGTGATTGTCGTTTTCTGTTTCAATTTTATTCCTTCGTCCAGCTCAGCCGAGTAGCAATAGACAGTGTATTGGGTTAGCTAGGGTGGTGGACTCTATTCTCTATTTATTTTTTTACATGGGTTTCAAAGCTATGTTTCTATGACTAGGGGAAGTATAAGTACTAGAGGCTAAGTGGGCGGGGAGCTCAAGCGGAGGGAAATTAGATAGAAGCTCATGCGGCGCGTTCGATGGGTTGGTGGTGGTGGTGGTGGTGGTGGGTGTGATGATCATCATCCACAGGAGAGGGGCTAATCAATCGATAACATTACTTACATGGAGCGGGATGCGTTGGTTCAGGGATTTGTTCTTGTTTTTCTTGAACGAACAGAGCAACAGTTCACGCATTCCCTTGCGGAAGTTCCGGCTGAGGAAGGCGTACAGCAGTGGGTTGACGCCCGAGTTGAAGTACGTCACCAGGAAGGTGAGTGGTGTGAACAGGGCATTGAAGTTCGAATCGCCCTTGTAGTCTGTGGACCTGAAAAAAGGATGGGGGAAATGATGAGAATTAATAATAGTAATTATTAGCTGATTGTACTGTTCAAACAGACCAACCGAAATTGTAGAAGCCTCGTGTACAGTGGCCCAGGAATGAAATTTTAATAGGAAAAAAATACACTCATGGATTGCATCGAATTGAGTTGACGTCTTCAGTGAAGTCTCTTGTACAAAAAAGAGGTTTGTTGTCTTTGGCAAAGTTGTAGAACGTAAAATTTTATGAAAGGTTACCCAAGACATAAAAGCTGTCTTCTGAGATATATGAAGTTTTATAAAAATAACCTGAAATTCATGTTTTAGTACACCGAAACTACCATTTACGAAGTCTATTTTGACGCAGCATTCTGTTGACGTCCCTTTTTTACGAATGACTTCCCAAATAACGAGTTTTTCTTTTGCGATTTTAGGAAACTGGGAAATACTATGGAATACACAACAATATGAGTCTTTTTGGAATCGGGGTAACGTGTAGGGACCTGAAATCGATGCCTGACGCCATTTTGATCCAAATGGTGGCTTCTGGTTACTGGTGAGTGGTGACTGGTGACTGGTTTGATAATTGCTTCATTCCTGATGCCAAAGTATATGTATCGCAAAAAGGGTCGCCATTTAAAGTTCTTTAAAATTTCCTGTGAAATGAATAGTGTGATCAGAGCCGTCTTTACTACCCTTTGTATGGTCTATTTTTAGTAGAGAGGCCCCTATTTATTATCAATTTTAAAATTCTACCTTCCATGAAATAAAAATACATGTGATAAACCTTTTTCGTATGAAGTTTTCTACCAACCTGCTTTTATTCTAACATTCATCAAATCTTACTAAACTAAATTCGTAGCCACCTTCTCATGCTTGTGAATTTGTTAATAAAAGTGTTGAAATCATAAATCAAAGTTGAGGAAGTTAATCTATCACGTTTCAAAATCAAACACATTATTTTATTCTGCATGCGCTGTAATTTAAATATTTGTGTTGCATTGGCCAAAAATAAAATGGAAGGGCCAAAGTCTACATGAGGAGAGATGATTGACTTGCACAGCTGTATTTTTTGGTAATAGTTAAATCGTTTTCAGTCGATACATAATTCCATACTTCTTGGTAATTTTCTTGATAAAATTGTTAATGTTAGAGTTGAACTTAAGTTTGTCATCCATAATCACGCCAAGGTATTTAATCTCCCGAACGCGATCAACAGTCTCATAATCAATTACAACAGAGACGTTATCATTTACTTGATTCCGCGAAGTTACCATGAATTCAGTTTTACTTGCATTCGATTTCAACTGCTTACACTTCAACCATCTACTTATGCAGATCTTCATTCAAGTGTGAAACGGCAACTTCTAAATCCTTAGCTGCAATGAATAACACAGTATCATCTGCACAAATATTAATGTCGCAAAATCGTAAAACACGTCGCAAGTCGTTAATATACATAATAAATAACAGGGGCCCTAATACACTTCCCTGGGGCACTCCAAGGTTATTCCCCATGGGACTGGAAACAGAATCATTAAAACAATCCATTGAGTCCAAATAGCTTTCAAACCATTTATATGCAGAACTCGTAATTCCAAAGCGCTTGATTGATCTTAACAATAAGGGCCTAGAAATTGTTTCAAAAGCGCGTTTAAGATCCAAAAAAACAGCAACAATCGTATCTTTACACTCCAAGTTATTTTTCCACTTCGCTAATACCAAATTCAACACAGTTTCACAAGAATGATCTTTCCGATATCCCGATTGTTATGGTATCATCAAACTATTGCTATTTAAATAATTCAACAGCTGGTCTTTGACAACAAGTTCTAACATTTTCTCTAATGAGTGCAGCATGTTGATCGGATTTTTGAATAGGAACTGTAGTAGATAGAGTTAGTGCAGAATGAAGAATGAGTAGAATCGAGTGAGCGTGAAGTGTGATAGACCGTATGTAAACAGAATATCATTGGTTCAAGAATTTTGATAAGCTAGCAGGTATTGGGCTACAAAATGGTGAGTTACAATCTGGAAGGAGCGATAGACCTAGCTCCGGTCCTCACAAGTTCCTACCTCACGCCTCCACGAGTCATATGATCACAAAAGACTGCCAGCTGAAACATGGACACAGCTGATTGGCGTAACCTGGGCAATGTTGTCAATCCGACAATAACAGAGTGAGGAGGTGCGACGCGAACATTGGCGCGGTAACCATAGCACGGTGATAGAGGAAATGCTTCACCAACCCGAGCGTCTGTTCACCATGGAGGTGCGTCTGACTGGCATCCAGCGGCTGAATAAGAAATGCTCTTCCCTGGAAGCTACACCTAAGATGGCAGCCCCATCACGGTGAATAGGAGACCTTAGGCCAACCACCTACTGTCTCTGAAACCTTTACAATTGTTACAGAAACCAACAGAGAAAAACATCGAACTGATTTAACGGCAACGACTTTTAGCGCAAAACAACGGACACGAATTGGATCATGGAATGTATTGACGTTAGCCCAGCAGGGTAAACTGGCACAACTCGCCAACGAGGCGCGACGCATGAAGCTAGAAATCCTGGGACTGAGTGAAGTTCGTTGGCCAAACTTTGGAGAACACAAACTGCCGTCGGGACAGGTACTACTATACTCTTGTATTCGAGGTGAAAACGTTTCCCGCCATCGTGGAGTTGGTCTCCTACTTAGCGTCCAGGCAAGTGCTGCGCTCATCAAGTTGGAGCCTGTTAATGAGAGGATAATCGTTGCCAAATTTAGAACACGGGTTTGTAACCTTACCATAATCCAATGTTATGCGCCAACCGATGCTGCCGAGCTACAGGACAAGGAGAATTTTTACAGTCAACTGAATGTCAAATGGTGACATCAAGATCTACACTGGCGACTTCAATGCGTAGATCGGCTCCGACAACACGGACATGGGACGCCATGGTCTCGGCGAAATGAGCTGTTTGCAGAATTTTGTGGCAATAACGATATGGTGATTGGGGGCTCGCTCTTCCCCCATCGGCCAGTGCACAAAGTCACGTGGGTTTCCCGTGATGGATATACTGAAAATCAGATCGACCACATCTGCATCAGCCGCAAATGGAGACGGAGCCTTCTTGATGTCCGGAATAAACGCAGCGCCGACCATCACCTTCTAATCGGCGAAATCCGCCTACGCATGGCGCGGATCCAGCGACGGGAGGAGAGACTCGGGCGGCGGTTCAACACACGCCGACTTGAAGATCCAGCGGTAAACAGGTCTTTTGTTGAAGAACTTGAGACTCGACCTGCGGACGTTCCAGACGGTGGCAGCGTAGAAGAACAATGGACGGCCACCAAGAATGCCTTTATAGAAACAAGCGAGAACAACTTGGGTGAGCTGCGCACCCAGAGGAAAGAGTGGATCACAGATGAAACCTGGCGGAAGATTGAGGAGCGTAGAGAAGTAAAAGTCGCGATAGAGCGGGCGAGAACCAGAGGAGCCAAGAACGAAGCCCGTCAACGGTACTCGGCTCTAGAGAAGGAAGTCAAGCGCTCTTGCAGACGGGACAAGCGAGCGTGGGTGAACTCCCTGGCCGACGAAGGGGAGAAAGCCGCAAACACTGGCGATATACGCCTCCTCTACGATATCTCACGATGCTTGAGTGGAGCAAGGATAAACCCGAGGATGCCAGTGAAGGACACGACTGGACAATTGCTTACCGACCCCACTGCCAGCTGAAACGCTGGTTTGAGCACTTCGACGGCCAACCAGCCATCAACATCTCGGCATGATCCGCCTAGGGTGCGGCGCATCACTCGCGTCAATTCCGAGGCCCCATCACTGCAGAAGATTGAAGCAGCTATCCGAAGCATGAAATCCAACAAGGCTCCAGGGGTCGATCGCATATCAGCAGAGATGTTCAAAGCTGACCCCATGCTATCCACACAAATGTTGCATCAACTATTCTGTGATATCTAGGACACCTCGACTTTTCCGGCCGACTGGATTCAGGGCATTTTAGTGAAGGTCCCAAAGAAGGGGGATCTGACTGTGTGCGGCAATTGGCGAGGCATCATGTTACTGTGTATTGTTCTCAAAGTTCTGTGTAAAGTTATCCTGAATCGGATACAGGAGAAGATCGACGCAACTCTCCGACGGCAGCAGGCAGGATTCCGTGCCGGAATATCTTGTGTGGACCATATAGTCACGCTCCGCATCATCCTGGAGCAGGTCAATGAATTCCAAGAGTCCTTTTATTTGGTGAGACGCAAGGGAGTCCCGGATAAAATCGTCAACCTCATCGAAGCGCAGTATGAGGCTTTCACGTGCAGAGTTCTGCATAGCGAAGCCTTGTCCGACCCTATCCGGGTAGTCGCTGGTGTGAGACAAGGATGTATACTATCACCGCTACGGTTTCTCATCGTAATCGACGAGATCATGGTAAGTGCAATTGACCGCGTACCGAACCGTGGGCTGCTTTGGCAGCCTATCACCATGGAGCATCTCAACGACTTCGATTTGGCTGATGATGTTGCTCTACTAGCACAACGGCGCTCTGATATGCAGAGTAAGCTCAATGACCTAGCCGAACGCTCCTCTGCGGTGGGTCTCACCGTCAACGTCAACAAGACCAAATCTTTGGATATCAACACGGGCAACCCTTCCAACTTTACGGTAGCGGGGCAAGCAGTGGAGAAGGTCGAAAGTTCCCAATATCTTGGCAGCCAAATAGCGTCGGGCGGCGGGACAAAGAGCGACATAGGTGCACGAATCAAGAAGGCTAGGGCTGCCTTTGCGAGTTTACGAAACGTATGGAGATCCAACCAGATAAGTCAACGCACCAAAATACGAATTTTCAACTCGAACGTGAAATCTGTGTTGTTATACGCCAGCGAGACGTAGTGTGTATCAGCGGAGAACACTCAAAAGGTGCAGGTCTTCATCAACCGATGTCTGCGGTATATAATTCGTGCCTGGTGGCCAACTGGATCTCGAATTCCGTCGTCGATGTCATCAGAAGCCGATAGCAACAGAAATTCGAGAGCGAAAGTGGAGGTGGGTCAGCGGAAACGAAATCTGCAAGCAAGCGCTGGATTGGAATCCGGCAGGACAACGCAGCAGAGGCAGTCCCAGAGGCTCATGGCGACGGAGCCTCAATAAGGAAATTAAGCAAGTTGATAGGAATTTGACCTGGGCCCAGGTCAAGGCAAAAACAAGCAGCCACCCAGATGGAAGTCTTTCACGTTGGCCCTTTGCACCGCTGGTGGTGCACAGGACCCTTAAGTAAGTAAGTAGCAGGTATAAATATGTGGTATCTAAGCTCGTTGACGGCATTCTTGTAACGAATTTAGGAGAAGACAGACGTTAAGAAGGAACGGCACTAAATAAGGTACAAATTGAAATAATATGATCACATCGAACTATGTTCATGACTTCTAAACCTATATTGGGTATAATCAAATATATCATATTAACAATATGATCCACTCTTTCGCTTAGTTGGCGAACCGAATTTTTAGCGATGAAGGCACCTCTGTGGCCACAAAGGCTACCAATGTATTTGTTTATCGTCACGAGGGGTAAATCAAATGAAAATTTGTTTAATATTTCAAATGAATGTATTCCAGCATTTTATTTTATTTGACGACAACTGAGATATGAATGAAGTTGTTATGTTGAAAGTTGAACATAGAATGTTTATTATACTCTAGTTTTGGTTACAAGAAGGTTTTCAGGAATACATATTATTATGGAGGATGGAGTTATTTGGCTTATTTACTGTTTGGTTATATGCTTGAAGCGTACAGTACTCAAGAATGGTTCTGTATTGATGTGTAAGCTATAATCACCGTAGGCCACTTGCGACGTGGGAACGTTGCGCCGAGGCGTAAGTAGAGAGATCGAATTACGCCTCGCACCAATCGATTATTAGAATAAGGCATGGTGACAATGACATGGGTTATCGACCATGTTTCGAGACTGCAAAGGTTTGCAATAAATTAATTTGAAGTGTTTGCACTTGCTAGATACATTTGAACTGCAAGCCTTGGCTTCTATGGGAATGATGATGCGCCAGTGATTTCTGTACTGTGGGAAAGTATGAGTAATTTGAGTTGAGGAAAATGTCAACGAATTTCTGTTGTTAACGAGTCGTGCATGTTTCAAGCGTCCGAAGCAATTTGATAATTTATGAGTTGTTTTGTACAGCGTGGCGTGGATGCTACACAACAGTGACATGTCAGACAAATTTTAAAGTAATATACATAATGTAATTAATGAAAATAATTCTTACTTTTGTAATAAGTGCTATATTCGCACCCCTCGATTGTAATTGAATGATTGTTGCTGACCTTTTTCAACGCTAGATGGTGCGTGAAGCAATATTGCAACATTTGGAAAAGGCATGAATGGATCATATTGTTAATATGGTATATTTGGTATAATGGAGGTATCTTGTTCCTTTTCACATCCAAATAAAAAGTTGCATCAGTATATTTTACTATTTACATGTGTACTAACGCAGCAAAGCGAACGAATTCTGAACTAATCAACTCACCATCCGGAAGAACTTTGCCACATGTACAACTTTGACGATGAAAGTTGCTTCCTGACCTTAAACTATAGCATATACAAATATTTTACATGCACACTAGCGCCACATACCGAAAATATTCTGAACTATTTACTTTTCACCAGCCAAAGAGCTTTGAACTCCTAAACAACTTTGCCGAAGACAGTAATGTTCTAGGTGTTCGGGATCTTAAGCTGTAGCATATATGAGAATTGCACGTGTATACTAGCGCAGTGCAGTGAGAAAATTATGAACTACTGTTCACCAGCCAAAATACCTTGACCTCCTGAACAACTTTGCCGAACACTGTAACTTTCTATTTGGTAAGGATCTCGATAAGATTTCACGTATTGTCGCGCCGCGTAGTGAGAAAATTCTGAAACATCGTGCACCAAAAAATGGCTTTAACCTCTTGAATAACTTTGTTCAAGACAGTAACTTTCTATCTGGTCAGGATCTCGAGATATAGCATATGCGAGAAGAGTACAGGGTGCGTGACGAATTTTTACAGTAAATTACAAATAGTAATTTCTCATGCTTGTGCATCATGATTTAGATATATTTGGCAGCACTCGATAGCTTATAGTGTTAGGTGTAAGATTTAAACAAACAATGTTGAGTAAACGTAAAGATGTCGAAACAAGAGAGCAATCTGTCAGCCGTTGTCGCTTTGTTGCGCGCCGGAGTATTCATGAAAGAAATAATTCGGTCGGTAAATGTGCCTGAAAGAACAGTGTATAATATTAAAAAAGGCTTGGGAAAGTAATAAGACGGAGAACCTGCTCATACTGCTAATAAAGCACAGAAAAGGCTTACGGAAAATATTTCGTAAATTTGGGAGGAAGAAATTTGGCCCCCAAGCAGTCCCGATATCAATCCAATGGATTATTTTGTATAGGGCGTCGTCCAACGGGATACCAATAGAACCCCTCACACCACACTTAAGTCGCTAAAAGCTAAAATCAAGGCAGTGATGACATCTATGGATCGAAACATTTTAAAACGTGCATACTGCAGTTTCCGGAAGCATCTAACTACAGTCGTCGAAAGGGAAGGCAATTTTTTTTTGAATAAATTTACTTACAACTTCCATATGTTGCGAAAGAAAATAAATCGCACAAAATTCATTGCTAGAATAACTAACTGGTGTATTTTTCTCAAATATGCCATTCACTGCAAAAATTCGTCACGCACCCTGTACATATATACTAACGCCACGTGGTGAGAAAATTCTTAACTATTGTCTACCAGCCAAAAAGGCATGACCCCCTAAGCAATTTTGCCGACGACAGCAACTTGCTAGCTTATCAAGATCTCGAGCTATTGAATATGCGAGAAAGGCACGTATATACTAGTGCTGCATAGTAAGAAAATTCTGAACTATTGTCACCCAACAAAAAGATCTTGACTTCCTGAAAAACTTTGCCGAATACATTTACTTTCTATCTGGTCAGCATCTAGAGATATTTTATATGCGAGAATTTCACATGCATAGTAGCGCTTCGAAGACGTCAATCTATTCAGCGGGACAAACTTAACGAATTTCAAAGCTGATACGTGTTTTGGAATGTACCAATAGCGTACCGTAGCGTACCTTCAAGGATTTTGAACGTACCTCAAAGCTTCCCGGAAAACCCGTGTTCCGCTGGATAGACATACGATTTCAGCAATGACCGAGTCGATCGACCAGATTTCTACGGAAATGGGACGTACAAAATGCGTACTTAACGAATCTGTAATTCATTTTTAACGTACCTCTCATTTTCACTTAAATGCTTATTCTTAACTTTTTAAATCGTTTTATATACAAATTCTGGGCACGGAATTGGATTCCTCGATAAATTTAAGCCCGATTTCATATAAAAAACATTATACTTAAGTGCATTCTAGCCAATTTGAGGACCAAAAACATGAAAATTTTACTGCACTGCCTAGACTCCGTTCAGCCATTCGAAGCACTTAGGATGAATCAAACCTCGATCCCCATAGATGGTCCCTCCAGTCTGTTGTTCCGTCGTTTGGTTACGATTGTGTTACAGAACATCGCAGTCCAAAGTGAAGGCTATTGGATATCAATGTCAAATTCACTGGCGTTCCACAGTCCCACTGGCCGGATATCGCGATTTAGTCCCAACCCAACAAACATTTTAAGGTGATTAAATGCTAAAGGATTAATTTGATAAAGGGTACCTTCTTAAAAATTGCCCTTTGATCGCTTTCTATTTTCTATATACAATTTTCACAGTTACAGTTTGAAAAGCACCCCCCCCCCCTAAAAGTGTGACATAATTAATGGACTATTCCTAATGTCAAATAGGGGTGATTCAAATATGATGGCGTAAAACACTGGATACATTTCAACCGTTTTGCGCGATCTGGAGTGGCCAGTAAGCGATGAAATTAAATTGATTTGCCGATTGCTGCTGCCAACACCGCGCTGGTAGGTAGAGTGTACAGAACAGACATAATCTCAATTACAGGCACCGCCGTCGAATCGGTAAAAGTTTGTGCATCATGCATGCATGATCCAGATTGCCATATGAGAATGCACATTGTTCGACCATTTATGAGTGCTAAATTTAGCTCGGCTCACAATCGCCAGTACCTACCTATATAGTGGGAGTTTATTTCAATTGGTGCCCGGGCGCAAATCGCAAACGCAAATGATTGATAGTTTGATGGTCGATCGTAATTCAATAGTGCAGCAATGAATTTCCACAATGTAACTTTGTAGCTGCCTGCAAACGAAACGGGACTTGGGGAACGATACGTACCACCGCTTACATTTCTCAATCAAAGTTGATGCGAATGCGGCTGTTCAATTGTTTTTTTTTTCGTTTCGATTGAACGATTGCATTCGACGTTAAATCAATTATCATTGCCATCCCTTAAGAGCATTCGTTTCATTTCTGTGTTCGAAAATAACTGCTGGAAATGAAACGAATATGGAATTCGAAAATGGAAAATAAATAGATCGCAATCCCCACTCACATTTTCCACTGATGGATCTTAATTTCGTGAAGCTTGTGACGTTTATTTCAGCTGATCAAAGCTGACCAATTTTCACGAACCCTTGCGTCTTCTTAAATCTAAATTCGAGGTGGTAAAAAATCCCAACGTGCATTTATGCCATGCTTTTCTTTTCTTACAGGTACTTTACGTCTTCGCAGTGAAAAACTTACCAATACTGCCACATTTTGCGCGCATGGAACGGCAAATTGCACAGGGCAAACGTCAGAACCACAACCATCAGCATTCGGATGACGCCCCGCCTCGCCCTCAGGACGTTGTTCGACGAGTGTGACACCTGCGTCAGTTGGGTGCCGTGCCGTTGGTGGAAGCTATTCTGCCGCCACGTCGTAACCACCACCTTGTCGGACTCCACCGAAACCTGCGTGAGAGGGGCAAAACGGCACACCTGTGTTATATAATTGTTACATCATCCAACATCGCATTCAATCCTCCTTGGTCAATATCCTGTCGTGTCGTACCTGACTCTCGGTGACTCCGGCTGCCCGCTTCTCGTACTTGCTGCTCGGCTTTCGGTTGAAATTGTTCGAGTAATTGGACGAGGTGGTGTTCTGTAGGGCAATGTGTCGCTCCAACCCCCGGGAGCTTTTCCACAGTGCTATCGCTATCCGGCTGTACAGGATCTGTCGAAAGAAAGGATACTCTATCTAATGCTCATAGTCCAACTCACTCCGGGCCGATTGTACTCACGGTCATGACCAGCAGCGGCAACACGTAGAGTAAGGCAAAATTGATGATATCGAAAAGCTCCGAGTTGAATGCCTTCCGATTCTGGATACAGATGGTTTCCATCTGGTCGTCGCCGAGATGGTTGGTAATCGTTCGGACGAAGATGAACTTTGGCACCGAGTAGAGGGCCGACGTGATCCAAACTGCCACGATGACCAGCTGTCGATTTGGAATAGAGAGATAAGATATTAAAGACAACATGGAACATGAATAAAGCATTTGGGGCATTGGGTACAACATTATTGAATTTTCATGAACAATTACAATCACTCAAGTAAATCTACACGACATGGGACTTTGCTGTTGAATCACATTCCATTCTGAGTGGATGCACCCAGCAAAAGCAGGTGCAAGCGTGCTTCAAGACTTATAACAACTTCCGTACTGCCGACCATAAGACACACATCAAGTCCCACTGGAAGTCGTATATCGTTGCAACCAGACCAGAGCGCAGAACGGGGCCAAACCAAGTCGGAGTGCACTATCAAAACGGCAAACTTCTTCACATGGGACATGAAGAAGACGATGGCAATGACGACGCCAACGTTGACAGTAGTGATGACGACTACGATGATGATGGTGATCAGCTTCATGAACTGACGCTCTAAGAAGCTTTGCTTACGACTCGCTCACATAAAATGCATCCGGCAGCAGGTTCTGTAATGTTTCCCTGGCTATTTATGTCGGAAATTTTCCCCTTGGTGACAGGCACCACTGTGGATAATGTGTGCAGTCTGGCAATAAATGATGCTGAGTAGAAAATAAAGCTTCCTAGTGCTATTTCTAATGGTTGGATCTTAGATGAGTATGGTTTGGTGCAAGAAGTAAAGCTCATTGGAAGGGTATTTTGATTTTCAAATCCCGGGACTAAACTTCCAGGATTTCCCGGGATTGTATAAATCCCAAATCCGGGAAGTTATCCAAAAGAGAGGATATCAAACTTGAAAAAAAATTTACTGAAGATTATTCTAAGGGTTAGATGATTTTTGTAGCTAGATTTTGTAGAACATCTATATTTAATCATCATTTTAATCTCAGACATAGGTACCGTAAAACGGGGTAACATTGATAGTTTTTTAAAGTAAATTCTAAATATTTTTTACAGTAATGAATAATTTTCCAATTTAATATTTTTAAAACAATTACTGTAGATCCAAGAGTTAATTAGTTAGTAATATGCAAGGTTGCAAATACTTATTACAGTTAAAATAATGTTTTTCGGAATAATAAAACCAAAAGATGGTATGATGGCATGTTTTACTTGTAACTTACAAGAAGAGGTTACATAGTATGCGTTTGAAAAATAAAACCTGTAAATTTTGCTTTCTATGAGTCACAATCAGCGATTTTCTGATCGCTGAGTGAGTGAGTGAGTGTGTGAAAAATTGCTGATTGTGACTCTCATGAAGTGAAATAAACAGGTTTAGAATGTCAAACACATTCTTTGCAACCTCTTCTTGTATCTTACCTATTCAAACTATGATCGTCATCTAATTATTTCATAATTTAAAAAAAAAACATGGTTTTAGCTGAAATGAGTATTTGCAGCCTTGGTAATATGTTTAACGGAAATTAAAGCATTTGCAGACATTTTTTTAGTTTTGTGACCGAACTTCAGTATTTTAATTTGGGGTTACTTTGATAATGCTCGATGAATGTTGAAAAAAATTGTTGAAACTCAAACAATTTAGTTCTTCAAATATGAAGCTTTGAATGAGTATATAATCAGAAAACATCATAAGCAATAAGAATACAACATTGAATGTGTAATGGCTATATCGGAAATACATTCCATAAGTGATGATTTGAGTGCTTTTGCAAACAGGCGAAAACACAAAAACTGTACTATATAAAAACTATATACGATATCAACCGAAATACCCTAAGTTACAATATGGAACCAATGTTTCAAATTTGGAAAAAGCTCAGCGAGTAAATTTAATCTTTATATTATACTTTCAAAGTTACCCGCATTATCAAAGATACCCCGTTCTACGGTACCAACATAAAGTTCTAGGACTTTTAATTTATTATTTTTAAAATTTCTGGCATAGTTCAATGGCAATGTGCACATCGAATAAATACATTTAGGACATAGGAAACGTTAAAAATATATGTCAATGAACAGTTATTAAAATCCTGAGAGTCAAAATAAAAATACTTTTGATATCCCTTACCGATATTTTTTCAAGATTTTGTAACTTAAAAAATAGATATCTCTGATACAGATTTTAAGAATAAATTCTTCGAATTTAAATGTAAACAAAAGGTCGTGAAATTTGATCAGTTATCTTTATTTTAAGACCAACATACAATAGCAGATCCTTTCTAGACTGTTATTTCATTAAAATTATAGTAAATTAAAACTAAAAAAAACTTCAGTCAAGATTCCTATAGTACGGTTAATAGGGACCGCACAATAGGAACCGGCATTAACGAATACACGTAGCATATATGGGATTAGAGCTAATTGGGACCAAACACTGATTGTCGGGCAATTTGAAGAGATAACTTCCTGATGTCTTCTGAGAACTTGTTAAGCAAAAAGTTGGCCACCTTCTGGGACGATTCAGTTTCCGTAAGGACACAAGCCTGATCCTGTGGAAGATCCTGAATATCCGTAAAAGTGGTCAATTCATGAAACTGATCTTAGAGCTCCGCGGTTTTTTCTTAACAACTCATAGACGTCTTATCAGAATGAATTCTGAGTGTTGACCAAAATATGAACCCTGAGGACCACGGGATGGTTTACTAGAAGATCCGGAACATCCGTAAAAGTGGTAAATTGATGAAACTGATCCTAGAGCTCCACGGCTTTTTCGAAACCACTCATAAACGTCTTATCAGAATGAATTCGGAGTTGTGACCGGAATATGGACCCTTTGGACCACGAAATGGTTTACCGGAAGATCCGGAACATCAGAAAAAGTGATCAATTCATGAAACAGATCCTACCCAACAAACAATTTGTGCTGATTGAAGGCTGAATAAGCATTTTTTTAGCTGAAGAAGCATATGTTTGTCTGAATAAGCTCTTATTCTGCTTCCAATGTTTGCTGGGTAGAGCTCCGTGGATTTTTCAAACCAGTTATAGACGTCTAATCAGAATGTATTCGGAGTTTTGACTGGAATATGGACTCTGGGGACTACATGATGGTTCACTGGAAAATCCGGATCATCTGTAAAAGTGGTCAATTCATGAAACTGATCCTAGAGCTGCGCGGATTTCTCGAAACCACCCTCAAACCTACTCGTTTAAAATAACCATAAGTCATGAACCATAAGAGATAAAAATTTGATGCCATGAGCAAAGTTGGTTCAAATTGATTATTCTACAACTTTTTAAAACATTATTACCATCTCAAGTAATAAAAAAAAAGTTGAATTTTCAATTCACCAATTTTAAGGACCACCTAAATTTCAAATCGGCTCAAAAAAAAAAAACGAAGAAACTTTCCTCAAGGCACCATATACCTAAAAGTAATGGTTTTGGTGGTAATATTTTTGTCTTCATATATACGGCTTTGGGACCATTGAGCATTGGTCCCAGGGTCAATTTTCTGGTTATAACTCCAAATTAATTCTGATAAGACGCCAATGAGTGCTTTCGAAAAAAGCGGACCTCTAAGCTCAGTTTCAAGAACTGAATTTTTTTATGGATGTTCACGAACTTCCTGCTGAACCATCTCGTGGTCCCAGAGGTCCATTTCCCGTCTAAGCGTTCGTATTCCAGTCACAACTCCAAATTCATTTTGATAAAACGTTCATGAGTGGTTTCGCATACTCATGGAGCTCTAGGATCAGTCTCATGAATTGACAACTTTTGCGGATGTTCCGGATCTTTCGGTGGACCATCCTGTAGTCCCCAGGGTCCAAATTCTAGTCAAAACTCCGAATTAATTGTAATAAGACGTCTATGAAAGGTTTCGAAAAAAAAAATATGGAGCTCTAGGATCAGTTTCATGAATTGACCACTTTTACGGATATTCCGGACCTTCCACAGGATCAGACTTGTGTCCTACCGGAAACTGAGTCGTCCCAGAAGGTGGCCAACTTTCTGCATAACAACTTTTCAAAAGACATCAGGCAGTCCAGGTTGCTTAGGTATTCCATGTTGGCTTCAATCAGCTAGACTAGATCATTTCCAAGTATCAAAAATGAACTATGAAGGCTAGTTTGATGCATTTGACAGAAGTATAACGAGAAGATGAATTGAACTGGTAACGAATACAAGCTTTGAACAATCCAATATCGAATGGAACATTGAAACGGAGCTTCAAATCATTCACAATTGCACTTTCTCTGTATCCAGAGGACCAACCACTAGGCGAGTAAGAGAGGTGCCACAGTCGGAAGAAGTGTTAGTTTGTTTACTAAAATGAACCGCCCATTTTGTTATGGCAAGTTTTGCTATAAGAAATGCTCCTCGTGTTTATTAGCGAAATTCACATCAAAGATTGATTAACTGCGTAGGAAATCAGTTTGGTACGGCATTTGTAACCAGCATACACCTTCCGGTCGTATGAAACAGGTCAAAAACTGCCCAAATCCGCAGATAAAAAATTTTGTTTTGAATTTCTGTATGGCAAAATAGTGAACTTTTCGTGAACATTAACGGCAAAGAACTCACCAACACTGGGAGACCGTGAGTTCCTGCCCACCTGCCTTAAAAACATCTCGGACCAACCAGTTCTCCCACTCCAGTGTTCTCTGGAGTGAGCTTCTGTGAGTTCACTGCAGAGTGTTTTTGAGCTCTTATGTCGCTCACTAGTTCCCACCAGTGTAGAGTGATCTAATCTCACCGCGCAGTTCATTCCAAAAACTACACACACAGTAAGGGTGTAGTGAATAATATACTGCATGTAGTGCTCTTTCTAGAACACACAGAGCGAGAAGATTAGAATGTTAGCTCTTGTCTCTCACAGAGGAGAATGACAAGTATGGATGAGTGGATGTTTTTATTGGTGAATAAATATCCAAAAACAGAATAAATAAAACTAAAAGGACCTTTTATGGAACTAACAAAAATGAATTAAACCGAAGACTACAAATCAAAAAAAAAACGAAGACTACAAATCAAGAAGACTGGCAACTGTTCCCTTTGCCCATACAAATGTCTCACGTCACTGATAACAGCGCCTCTGTCAATCAAAGCAGGA